TTGCTGCGGCTTCCCTGCTGGGTGGTAAAGCCCTCTGGGAACCTCAAAAGTGGCATAAGGAAGTTGACATACAATGCTTGTGTGCACCAGGCGCTGTTGAAAGCGTCTTACTGTGTTATCTCATGATAGCCTTGTGAGTTAGATCCTGTTTTGCAGAAGGGGAAACTGAGGCACAGAGACTTAAGTGCCTTGCTGGGTTCAGGCACTAGTGGGTAGTAAACCCTACATGACACCATTTTAGTCCTATTGCAGCTGCTTCCTCCCTGGGTCCCCAAGGTCAGAGCCCCTGAAGCCCGTGTGACTTGGAGCCATACTTTATTTAAACCAGTCATTTTGACAAACGTGAATGCATTTCCAAAACTGTAGTGGGAAAAGGTCAGAAAGCCGTGCTTCTGAAGTACCGGGAAGAAACAGATTTTGCTTAGAAAAGAGAGGGGCGGTGGGCAGCCCTCCTGGCTAGTGTGTAGGAAGGAGGTGAGACTTCCCTGAGGATCGAGGTGGGTGGCAGCTTTAGGGGGCTGGCTTCACTATGTCACAGTGAAGGATACCCAAGCAATGGGGCTTTCCGAGAACAGAGCCGAAGGCTGTGGAGTGGCTGGTAATGAGCTTCCTGACACTGAAAGTATTCAAGCGGGACAGACTGGGCACCTGTTGAGGAAATTTCTGCATCATGTGGAGTTTCATTGATTGAGCTTGGGGGTGCATTCCAGCCCAGATACCCTAGGAATCTACATTCAGGTTAAGTAGAATAATAAAATAGGGTCACCTGGGCAGCGTCACTGGTGAGGACCCCTGAACCTCCTCCATGCACCGGCAGGGCAGGAGAATCCAGCAGCATCTCCAGGAATCTTTAATAGAAGTGGGATGCAAGGGTTCCTGCCCTTTTCCCAGCTCACTGCCCCCACCAGCAGGTAGTTCCAGCCACCTGGCGGGTGTTTGTCCAAGATAGTGGGACTTGAGTGGGCGTCCTGGGCGGGGGCCTCCCGTGGTTGGATTCTTCTGCTCTCCTGGACCACTTTGGTGTTCCACTCTTCCGTTTTGTGGGTGGGCTTTCATCTTCCACGTATGGTCAACGTTCTTTCCTTGGACCCAGAGCTTCTGGATCGCGCTATACAGCCCCAGCCTCCAGCCAGGCCCAAACCTGTCTCTTGCTCACATCTTATGCTTGGGCCATCCAGGAAACAGGCCTCTTCCTTTAGCCCAAGCCCAGACCTGCCATCCAGATAGCCCTTTGAACAGCAAGAACTTGAGGATCTAGTTTTCCCTTTGTAGCCCTCTGCGTTCCCCAGTCACAACCCAGTATGTTCCTCCACCAGCTGAGAGACTTACAGCCGTAGGTCCTATTTCTGCTCAAACTTGAAAGTTGTGTTGCACAGCTCCTGGATTCAGAATGACACCTTAGGAGCAGGGCATGGTGGGTGAACCCACACATCTGCCTGCGGTCTGGCCTACGTCCCAGTCATGTGGCCACTGACTCAGGAGTACGGGTCCTTTGGAAAAAGGGATGTGGCTAGTTTGGAAAGGCAGACAGGTGACCAACAGGCCACCCTGAGTTTCCACTCCCTCCCTCCCTTGCTAGTTGGTGGGGAATTTGGACTGCTGGAATCTCCCATAAACAGTTGATATTAATCTCAGGTGCGTGCACCCCTGGAACATGCCTTTTCAGAAAGACACGTGTTCAATTTCTCTAGGTGTCAGAGGAGTTGGGCCTCTGTGCTCCAGCAGGCAGCCCCCACTCTGACCTATCTGGTGAAATACCTCCTCCGAATCTGGGGAACATTTCTGTCTTCTCCAGTCCCTTGGTTCTGGAAGGTGTGTTCTCACCTGTAAAGGATTTCTAAAGCTTTACTTTCTGTTCAAAAAATGAAACGACCAAAAACTCTGCCTATTCCTGCCTCTTATTGATCAGCAAGGGGCTGAGTTTCCTCCTTTCTAAGACTCCAGCTGGTAGCACAGGAGATGAGGAGGTTGGGGGGTTAACCCTGGTGGGCTGGAGGCTGAGCTTGCTGATGATCTCTCCGGGACTCCATGATGTGACAGGCATTCTTCCTTGTCGACTGGGACATTCCTACCAGGAGATAAGACACGGCAAATGCACTGGACTCTTACTGAGTAAAGGGAGGGTGTCTACACTGGAGACTTTCTCCTGCTTCCTCATTTAAATCTGGCCTCCTGCAGAGGTTAAGAACTAGCAAACTGAGTTTGCACTACGATTGACCCCGTACCATGATTTCTGTGAGCAGTGCGTGAGCAGGTCATTTTCCTCACCTTCTTAAGCTGCAGTGAAACTTCAAAGGTCTGTTTCTGACAAGGCCCCTGCCTCTGAGACACCCAGCTTATTTCACCCTAACTGAATAATATTCTGAGAATCCCCCATCCCCCACCATTTTTTTTTTTTTTTTTCCTTTGGCCCAGATCCATGCAGAATCGGAGAATCTTTAAGCTGGGAGGGACTCTGGGGCTGCAATGTGCTGATGAGTCACACGGGAGCATGTTCTGAGGGACATTCTGGTTTAGGAGGTCTGCGGTGGGGCCGCGGATGCTGCCGGACAGAGCGCCACACTTTGGATTTTGAGGATCTGGTCTTAATGGGGTCATTTTAAAAATGTGAACGCTGAGTGCCAGAAAGCTTAAGTCACTTGCCAGTGGTTAGAAGTGACATTCTGCTTTTCCCCACACCTAGTCCATCACTTACTTTTTTTTTTTTTAAATTGTTAAACCTTTAAGTTCAAGGGTACGTGTGCAGGACGCGCAGGTTCATTACATACAGGCATGCGTCATGGGGGTTTGTGGTACGGACTATTTCATCACCAGGCATTAAGCTGGCTCCCGTGAGCTGTTTGTCCTGATCCTCTCCCTCCTCCCACCTTCTGTCCTCCGGTAGACCCCCATGTGTGTCGTCCCCTCTATGTGTCCAAATGCCACCTGCTTTCAAAAGGGCTTCCCTCCTCTTCAGCTGCCGCTTCCTGCTCAGGCCGAGTATAAGGATAAACGCAGCCCATCTGAATCCCACTTTACTGTCTGGATGAAAGATTTCTTGCCTATCAGGACCCCTTGCTCCACAACCTGCATTTTTTACCAGATCCAGAGGCGTTTTTAAAGGGATATTTTTTTGTCGTTGTTCTCACTTATGGATGTCTGTCCTCCTCTCTCTTTGTCTCTCTGGCTCCCTGTCTCTCTCCCCCCTCTCCCTCCCTCCCTGCCCAGGAGAGGCCAAGGGTGAGTATCTGACTGCACCTTATGTTCTCTGACTCTCAGATATTCTAAAGCCAATCCCAGAATGGCACTTGAAGTGACAGGGACATTCCCAGGGGCCTAAGGACACCAAGGATTGGCCTAGGGCCAGCAGCAACTGGTTTGAGAGTCCAAGGAGGTCTCCACGCTCTGTCCCCTCCTGCTGGTGGGAGGCAAAAATGCCAGTCTGGGGACAAGGCTATAACGGCGACAGGGGTAAAAGTCTCCCTGAGGCCAAGGGAAGGTGGAATGTGACGAGGAGTCGGGAAAACTGCCTTTTATAGGCATGTTGTTTTCTTTGCTTTTTTTCGTCCAAGTTTATACTCCCAGCGACAGTGCCACCCGAAGGCGCCCAGCCTGTCTGTGCCTGGGGCAGGCGCTGACACCGGCATGCCCCTTCCCCCATCTTGCCTGCAAGTTGCATGACCTGCATCGGAATCCACAGGGGGGCGGGGGAGGCTCCTTTCAGATACTGGATGCGGTTGAATTCAATGTATTTTGCTTCCTCGCCTGCCCTCATCCAAGCCCGGGCAGGAGAGCCCTGCTTTCTTCTGCGTGTGAATGCTGTAGTGTCTGCCTGCTCGGACTCCCCTAACCCTTTCTTCTCCTTTCCCACAGCGAATGCTCTTTTTTTTTTTTCAACAAACAGCTCACACTTGGCATCTTTACGTTTTATTAAGAAAAAATTCCCTAACCAGAGCAAAAGCGGAGACGCCCCCAATTCTTTCCCGGGTGGGATCTGAGCTCCTGTCGAAAGCTGCACCTGCTTTGCGTCCCTACCAGGAAGGGGTGCTTCTGTGGGAGGGAAGGAGGAGGTTCTGCGCCCCCGAATCCGGAGAAAGCAGCCCGCCCGCCCCCTCACCCGGCAGCCAGCTCAGCGCACCGAGAGCTGAGCCCGAGAAGCCGGCCTGTGATGGGGTCGGCGTGGCGCTTGCCAAAATACGCCCCTTGCATCTCAATTTCCCCGGCCGTTTCTTTCGCACGCACAGCTCGCCCGGGGCCACCTCGGTTCTCCAGCACAGCCCTTTCGCCTCTTGCTTCTTCCTTCCCCATCCCTGCTTGCTCAAGGCCAAATGCAAAACCCACCTCCATGAAGGCGCAGCGGGCACCGGGGGCACCTAGCGTGCCATGCCCCGCAGTCCCCTCCCAGCCGAGACCAGCGCCCCAGACTCCAGGTTACGGAAACGAGTGTCATTCAGACCAAGGACTGCGCGTCTGCGGTCCCGGTCCAGGGGGCTCTGGGTGCTGCTCTGGGGTGTCTGTGCGCTCCGGTCCCCACCCCCGTCGTCTGCGCCCCCCACCCAGGCTTGGGAGCGCTCCCCGATCACCCCCACCACGTCCATTTCACTTCCTACCACGGTCCGAATTGCAGCAAAACCGGGCAGCGCGAGGGCCAAAAAGTGGAAAGGAGAGCGCCTTTCCGCGTCGCGCAGCCAGCTCGCCAGCTCTCCCTCCCCAGCCTCGACCCTCGCAATCTCTACTGCAACTTTTTCCCTTTGGTCTCGGTTTCCCCTCGGCTGCAGCAAGCCGGCGCCGAGCTGCGAGGCGTGGGGCGGGCGGGCTGCCGCGCGGCTGCGGGTGGCGGTGCCGGCTAGAGCCGCGAGCCGGCGAGTGGGTGGGTGGGTGGGTGGGGAGGAGGGAGAGGACGGGAGGGGAGAGAGACGGGTGTGGGGAGGGGAGGGAGGGGGAGATTCCGCTCTCCTGCCGCTCCCAGCCCGGGCGGGGGTAGGAGGCCGCGACGAGGGAGGGGAGGAGAGAGGGAGGGAGGGAGAGAGGGAGGGAGGGAGGGAGGGAGGGAGGGAGCCAAGGAAGACGCTCCGACAACCCGTGCGTTTCGTAAGGCTCGGAGCACTTGTACATTTCTGCAGCCGCGCGGCGAGCCATTCGCGGGCGGCTGCTGCAGCTCCTACTGCGTCTTCCTTCTCCTCCCTTCCTCGGACTCCGGGTGTGTGTATGTGTGAGTGTGTGTGTGTTGCAGGTGTGTGGGGTGTCCGTTTTAATTCTGCCCAGTAGGTGGGACTTGGTGACTTTAGCACCATTTTTTCCTCTTCCCTTTTTTTTTTTTTTTTTTTTGACTCCCCACCGTCTGTTGCAACCCTGCAAAGTCTCGGAGTCGGAGAGCGTGCCTCGCTTCCAGAGCCCCCGGACCCGGCGAGTCAGCGATCGCTGAGCCGGCCACCATGCCCGGCAGACCGCGCCACTAGGCGCTCCTAGCGGCTCCCACCCGGCGGCGACGGCGTCGGCCGCGATGGTTTCAGACGCTGAAGGATTTTGCATCTGATCGCTCGGCGTTTCAAAGGCAGAGGCCCCCCTCCCCCTTCCCCCTCCCTCACCGTCTTTGTTTCCTTCCCCCCCTGCTCTCCCCACTCCCCCCACCCCACCCCCCTCTCCTCTCCTCCTCCTCTTTTTTAGAAGCAGCGATCGGAGATGGATGTCTCTCTTTGCCCAGCCAAGTGTAGTTTCTGGCGGATTTTCTTGCTGGGAAGCGTCTGGCTGGACTATGTGGGCTCCGTGCTGGCTTGCCCTGCAAATTGTGTCTGCAGCAAGACTGAGATCAATTGCCGGCGGCCGGACGATGGGAACCTCTTCCCCCTCCTGGAAGGGCAGGATTCAGGGAACAGCAATGGGAACGCCAGCATCAACATCACGGACATCTCAAGGAATATCACTTCCATGTAAGTCAGGCGGCCGCTCCCCAGCCCGCCTCCCCCGTGCTCCGCGTCTCCCTTTTGCCGCCCGCAGCCTAGCCGGGAGCCGGCCCTCCACCCGCCCCAGCTCGCTGCTGCCTGCTGCCCGCTGGGCGCACGTCAGGCTCGCTCTGGCTCGGGAGATGCTCACGGGCTGCGCATTCCAGGTGACTCCGGCCCTGGCGAGACGCGATCCGGCGATGCGTGTGTGTGGCTCTCCCTGGAGAGGACCCTGGCCGCCGAGGGCACGCGGGGCCCAGCTCCCACCCGCTTTCCCCACCCGCTGCTGGCTCATTTCGAGGGTGCAGATCGGGTTTTTTTCTTTTGCCCCCCACTAAATAGCAACAGTTTGGCCACGCTCAAGTGGAATAAAGTAGACGAGATTCGATTCTCTGGCAGAGGCGGCGGCAGTGGCGGAGGCAGTGGCGGCGCTTAGCCGGCAGGGATGGTGACAGATAGGGACTGCTCGCGATCCAGCCAGGTGCTTAACTATTTCCATTTGGAAACAGCAGAACACGCTGACAAGTAAACAAGTTGGGAGCTGGCTGCTCGCGGGGAGACTTTGGACGCGTGGAGGCCGTCATGGACGCCTACCTCTTCCCTTCCCCTCCTGCAGCCCGCCCTCTCCAGCCCCATTTTGGGCATTTCCGAGACACCCCCTTTGCCACCCTCATCTGCATCTGGGCGCCTACAGATCCTTTCCCAGTTTGGGGTTTGATAACTGCTCCGGATAATTCTGAGTCAGGATGGCGCAGGGAGAGGCGAGGACGTGTGTTTTGGGGAGGGGGGTTTCTTGTATGACCGTCAGGATGGGTTCGTTTGGAACATTCAACTCTGGCTGGTTTTTGCTTCGTTCTGCCCCGTCGAAGGGAGACCAGTGGTGGCCTGCTCTTTTCTCCTTGCTATTTTTCTTTGGTGGGGATGGGAACAGAAGCAAAGGAGGGGAGGGAGCAAGGGCTCGGAAACCAGAAAGCCTGCTCCTCTTTTCTTCAGCTGACCTCGGCCAGGTGACCCCCTCCCAACCTACCACCCCAGAGAAGGGTGTGGACCGCACTAGAATTGCTCAGAGGATAATTTTCACCTCTTTCCCCCCAAGGCTCCCAGCCCTTGGGGACCCCCAGGAATGGGTAGGCAGCTGAGAAGGGTTTGTGCTGAGGTCCTGGCCAAGGTCTGGAGGAAGACGTTTTGGGTGGCTCGTTACCCCTCGGTCGGACTCAAGGGGGCTGGACCTGCATTTGGTGCTGCTCTAGGAGCCCCTCCCCTTGCTTGAGCCCAGGGCCATGGGGCTGCAAAGCCTGGAGGAATTGCAGTCCCACTCTCTGGAAAGCCCACCTGCCCTCTCAGCTTAATGGAGCCTCTGCTTGCATTCTTGCAACTGACAGTTCGAGGGAAATGGACAGCCCAGGAGATGTCTCTGACTCCTGGCCCAGGAGACAAGCTTGACCCATATCTCAGCTCTGCTGTTCACCCCCTCACCCCCTTCAACCCGTCCAGAGATGACAAGACAAACAGCCAAGTGGTGGCGGGGGGGCAGGGGGAGGGCAGGAGAAACAGAGGACAGACCCAATTGTGCCTGTCCCTGCTTGCAGGCCACAGGCTTCCAGCATTCCCAAGGAGGCAGGGAGAAGGGTTCAGAGTGAGATCGTCAGGGAAACTCAGACTTGGAAGTGGATTACTGGGGCTGTGTGCGTGGGGGTGGGTCTTGGGGAGTGAGTGGGGGGGTGGCGAAGGTGGGAACTGAGTGGTCAGTCTTGGTGTTCAGAGCCAGACCTAGAGACTTCCAGGAGTGGGCTAAGGGTTGGAGGAAGAAGGGGCCCGGTGCCCAGCCTGGGTCTCTGGGAGTGGGTGAGCTGCATCCAGCTTGTTCTCCGCTCCAAGGAGAACAAGTGTCTCTCTGTAGAAAGCCAGGGGAGGCAGGGATGGTCACAATCACGTAGGCTCTTTATAGCCACACACAGGTGTTGCTCCTCTGGAGATGATGCTTGGGGAAGCAGACTCATAGGGAAGAGTTGGCTTAGCCTTTCTAGGCTGCCAGAAAGGTCCATGATGGGAGGGACTGGGGTGGCCTCCTCCCTCTTTGGCACTGGGGGCTCTCAGGAGGATAGTGAGCAGGGGGTGCGTCTGGACCCTCTCTGCGTGTGTCCCCATTCTTATTTCAGGACTTGGGCTCTGACAGGTCATCAGGACCCCTTTCTCTAAATCCACCCCAACACCAAGGAACAAGGGAACTGGATTCCCATAGGAGCCATGCCAGCGGCAGGTTGGGGAGGGTCAGAGGTCATGGGTTGAATGACCTCTCCTCGCCCCATCTTCTCCCCAGTGCCCTGTTATATCTATGGCTGGTATTGACCGAGCTCGAGAAGGGCCCAGATTTCCACTCCAGAGCCAGAGAGCTGGAGAGAGGGCGGGGAGTCACGCTCACCACGGGGAAGTCAGCATCCCCATCCCTGTCTGACTTCCAAGGAAGTGGAGGCTTGGGGTGGTGACTTTCCCCAGGCACACAACCCCAACAGGGACCCCCCCTGTGCAGGCCTGCATGTGGAGCAGGCTGGAAGAGGGGCCTGTGGGCAGCGAGGAGCACCCTCGGCTGGGGTTGGTTCTTGTTTTAGTGTGGCTTGGGAAGAGGGCTTCAGTTGAAGGCTGTTGTCTTGCTGGAGAGGCGTTCCTCAGATTTCTGATGTTACCAAGGCAGTGTGGGGTCAAGAGGTCCCCCAGCTTCCCATTGGCTTGAAGCTCTGGACGCTGGTGGATGGCTGGGGCTACAACTTGGGCATGCTCTGGGTAGAAGAAGATGCTGAGGCTCCATAGTTTGACCCTCTTGTTCTTCAGGCTGTAATGTTTCAAGGTCCTCCCTTCAAGGGCTGAACTGATTGTACCTGAGTTTCCAGAGGGACAAGAGGTTTCCCTGTGGTTCCACTTCTCAGGGGTGGTGTGTGCAGTGATTCCTGTGTGGCCATCCCAGGAAGCTGGCTGGTAACTGCCCCTGATCAGGGCAGCCATCTCCCCATTCTGCTACCCTGTTAGTATATGGAGGAAATCACTTGCATGGCATCGGGGCAGAATTGTGGGTCTCATTTCCACCTCTCCCAGAGCCAAGCTACTCGAGAGGGGCCTCCCTTTTGGCCCCTTTCTGCCCAGGAGGCCAATCCCTTTGCCTTTGCAGCTCTTGAAGCAGGAACCTCATGGGGCCTGGAAGGGTCCATGCGCAGCCACACCCAACCAGGCTGTGACGTCACAAAGGCAGGAGGGTGGTGGCTCTGCTGGACTGACTGACTGGGCTGCCTTGCTAGGCCAGGCCTGCCTGGGGCTGGGTCGGAATGATACGGCCTTTGGCTGTTAGAAAGAGGATGAAGTGGGAGAGGATGGCATGGCTGGGCTGGCTGCCTCTGTTTGCAAAGACCATGAGCTCTTAGCTGGAACTCTGAGTCCCCAGCTGGGTCTCACCCTGAGCCCGCAAAGGGTCCCCGTCGTCTGGCAGCTCTCTGGTCCCTTCATTTCCATGGCCTTCCCCGAAGGTCCTCTTCTGGCTGGCTGAAGGATCATTCCGGGGTTTGGCTGCTGTGCTGGCTCCTTGAGTCTCATTCTTTCTAAGGATCAAGGGGAGACCCAGCCTTGACAATGACCCGGCAGGGTATGAACCAGGCCCCAAGGGCATCATGGGGCTTGGTCTCGGTAGGCACAGTGAGATGCTCAGAGCCCCAGGATTAGGACTAGACTTGAGAGAGGAAGGCGGAAATGTGAGGGCAATTGACATGAGATTTGGAAGTGGGAGCAGTTACAGCTCCAGAGAAAGATACTTCCAGGTCAAACCTGGGGCACTTGGTCTCCTGGGGCCCTAAGGGTTTCTGCCAAGGAGAGGCTGTTCTTGTCTCCAGAGCCAGGACCCTCCACCCCAGGAAGCCCAGCAGGTCAAGCTTCTGTCCTGCACCCTGGGGGCCAAGAGCATGTGCTCTGCAGCTCCGTAGGACCTGGGGCCATGACAGCTTTGGGCAAAACCCAGCCCGCTGTGGCCACTGCTTTGAGATTGGAGAGTGCTGGGCTACTGGCCCCACGAGGGCTGAGCCTGCAACCCAGAAGGTTCCTTAGGGTCTTAGAAGGCTCCTACTGCCCCCCTGCCTGGCTGAACGGAAGGTGCTACCATGAGCAAGGGAGGGCCTGACGCGCTCTCCTGGGATGCCCCTTGTCCTTGCCCTGCCAGTCCCTGCCAGCTGCTGCTTCTGTCAACTGTGCAAAAGGACCAGGGCCCCACCTCAGCTGGCTCTTGGGTGGGGTGTGTGTAGTCTGAGGCCCTCTTTTGGTATGGCCATTGCCAATATCATGGCATTTCCATGGTGACCCTGGGTCCCCATCCCATGGGAACACCCCCAGGTGTTCCCGTGGGCGGCTTGCACAGGGGTCCTGGGCAGGTCTCCAGTCTCCCATTGGGTCCTCCAGTTGGCTGGCGGCAGGGTAGGATTAGAGGAAGAGATGAATCATGTGAATCCCACCTTAGCTCTGTCCGTAGCCCCCTGTGAGCCATACCAGGGATCTGTAGACTTTTGGAGCCTGGAAATTCAACTATGAATTGAGGCCATGGGGCAGTGTTTCTTCCAACTCGGACATATGTCATCTCGGGGCCCAGGGAACTTGTCCCAGGAGGCTCAGCCAGGACACTTTGAAGGGCACTTCCTTGGGATGTCAGTGACCCTTGTGATGGTGTCAGGAGGAGGTGCACTCCCTCACTGACCTTGGGACACTGGTTTTCTCCTCTCCCTTCCCTTCCCACCTCCAGCAAACGGACCACCCAGAATTCGACACCATTTGTGACACATGACACTATTTAGAGTCAACTGCCCAGACCAAATGGCATATTTAACAAGAATGTGCTGGGGCCTGCAGCCTCTCATTAGGGCCTGGACACCCAGCTTCGTGGTTCCCCATCTGCACCCTGGGCTCACAGCCAGGGAAAGATGTCCCTCTGCAAAGCTTTCAGCCCGTTGCTGGGGCGC